GTATAGTATCATGCTTTGACAATAGATGTGGCATTACACAAAAAAAAATGAAGATATTAGTATAAGTAATGAAATTTTTATCTCAAAACAAACACCAAAAATAAATAAATTTTAGCAAATGCATATTTTATAAGTTAGAAAATTATACACAATGAACCATGTTAAGATTAGAACCCTCGACAGTGTGTGAGTATCTTGGACCGAGATTCTAAACCAACATCTAAACAATGACCATGAGTTGAGGGTGAGTCTATATTAAACTTCAGGAATTAACAATTGGTACATATTGTATATATAAGATATAAAATTGAGTGTCTTGATAGACAAATATGATCTTACACTAAGACAGTAAATTTTCAATTGGGATGACCAAATTTATGTAATATTGAAGTCCCTTTATAAAAAAAAAATTCTAACTAAGTTGTCATCATCTGAGCAACATCATTGGTTGAGAGTTCGTCCAAACTCGAGATTCATTGGATGTCATATATTGTATAAGACAAAAAAAAATTGAGTATCGTTATTGACAAATCCTGACATAAGATTCTATATGGGACATGATATATCTTTGTGACATGATTTATGATCAGTGAATCGAAGCATCATAAGTGAATGTGCTAAGTATTGCGAATTTTTAATTTATATACGCACGACATACTCACCAATGAATGCAAATATAAAAAATTTAGAAGATCCAAAATAGTTTAAACATATAGATAGTTTGATTAATGTAAATGATAAAATTAAACTCACCGGCCAACGGGCCGGGTAAAAAGCTAGTAACTATGAAGCTCCATCTCCTTAATAATTAATAAGTTTGTGCATATGCTCTACCTCCTTGTTTCTCATTACACCACATCTCACTACATCTATGAGATGGTGGGGCTCCTTGTAAGCCCTTTGTAAAACAAATATACTTTTAACCAATCAAGTAGTCCATAATGGGGAAGTTTGAGTAAAAATGATGTAAATCTCTCTCATGCCTCGAACAATGACTTATCATCTTCCTGCTAGATGAAGTGATCTTGCTCCTCTTTAAAACTGTCTTGGAGGGTAGGATGTAGCGATAAAATAACTTATCAAAGACGTCCATCCATGAGGTGATTGAGTGATGATGATAATTGTTTAGCCACTGTTGGATCATTCAACTGAGTGAAAATGGGAAAAGCTTAAGACATGTTGCTTCAGGAAGCACTCCGCTGATCTTAACCCCATTGGTGATTTTCAGAAATGCCTTGACATGGTGTGCACGTCATTATTCTTCAATCCATTTCCATGGATTGAAGTTTGAAGTTTAGGAGTGGAGGATGAAGGATTGGGGACTACACGTTGTCTACACTCGGTCGAGTGTAAGACCCCATGGTTCTCGGTGGAATTCTTTCTTGCTCTTGTTGTTCTGCCATATGGCGATTCACTTCTTGTTCTTGTTCTTTTGAGACATCGCAGTGTCCTCTCAATCTCTGCACCGAATGGCATGATATTATCGAGATTCCTCCTTTGCATATAACTGGCTGCACAAGAAAATCAAACACTCGTGATAAATACAATAAAATGAAACAAAACAAACAACTGCAACTATAAATAAAAACCGAAGACAGAAAAGTAAATGACTATAGTAACAACCTAACTCAATTCAGCTAGTTACTAGTTGTCTTCCCCGGCAACACCGCCAAACACTTGGTTGCGCGTTCAAAGGCACATACACACGAGTTTCAAAAACCATACATTTCTATCACACGATTCCTTTTGTGCCAAGTATAACTTAATTGTGCGCAATAGTACAACAGTTGACCGAACTCGTATCCATGGGCTTAACAACCTAGCCTATTCTCTGAGCATGGTTATTATCGAATAGAATATTTAGAGTTTTGTTGATGACTAAGCAAGTTAAAACTATGAAAGATGCCAAAAGTGTAGAACGATACTTGGGGAGACATCCCCCTCACCCTAACAGCGGGAATAACATGCAACGATTGGTTAACCAAGAATTCTACGACAATTAATCACTAAAAAACAAATCACTTTTTTTTTTGGTTCAATGGCTACTCTCATTAGAAATTGGCAGAAGGGGAAGGGTTGGTGGCACCTAAAGAGCCACAACACCTAATTCGCGCATTTATGCACATAAATTTATTCGTATTCATGATAAAGTGGTGTTTAGTCACATAACAGTGGTGGCTATTAATGAAAATGGCAAATGGTTATTTACGCCATTGTAAAATAAAATTTTAAATTTTGAAATATATCAAATGGATGTCCTTCTGTAGTTTATGATGAATACAACTCATTTTTACAAAAAAAAAAAAAAGAAAAATTCTAATAAAATTTCAATAATATAGACAATATAAATTATTAGGTAAAAATTATATTTCATAACTCTTAAGTGAATAAGCATCTAATTACATGAATAATCACCGAATGACGTAAATGAATGCAAAAATGCGTGAACTAGATTTTTTTACAAGGAGTTTCATTAACTGAATAGTGTTACAAAGTGGGTATTAACCCAAAAGCATACTACAGTCAAGACAAGCAAGTTGAGAAGAAAAGTCCATACATTTTAAGCCCAAATATTGAGTTCAAATCCAAAACCACAAACAGTAAAGTGAGCACAAAAAGGGAACACCCCAAACCTATACTAATAGGAAACTCAATAGAAGAGTGGAGATAGTCGTTGCCGTTTGGAATCTTCATCCACATCTGAAACTTGCAAACCAGCACCTCCAGATCGAAGAAAACCAACGTCATGGGTAGCCTGAAAGACAGAAGGGGAAACTTGCCAACCAAGGAGGAGGATGGATTCGAAGAAAGTCGACAGACCTACGAGGTGCACCTTAATCTCGTCACTACCTAAGCAAAGTTGGACAATTCACCACCAGATGCTCTAAAAGGACATGCAAAGAGGATGAAACTAGTACGATAGGCGGTCGGCACCTGCATCATGGAGATCGAGTCTTTGTCTTCTCATCTTCATCCGAGTCTGAGGCGAAACACAAGGATGGCTACAAGCATCTCTGAATGACCAAGATAAGCTTGCTGAAGCAATGAGGTAGATGAAGGAAAAGAAAATGAGAAGGCAAGCTGATCTTAGAACAAAACCAGACTCTTTTGACACTACAAAGAAAAGGTCTCCATATCTGCTGAATCATAACAAAAAATGGAAGACAATCATCTCAATCAGAGAGATCGAAGAGAAAATTCTAGAAGCGGAGTGGAAAGCAATATAACCCACAGACGAAAAGATAAAAAGAAGCGGCCGAAAAAGGGAAGGTAAAAATGGTGTTGTGCCTCTTTAGGGGGAAACACTATGGTGCTAACACTTTTTATTGTTAGCATGGTGATAATACTAGTTCTACTCAATAGGAACATTTTGTGCAATGACTTTTTAATTTAAATGACTTGATTATTATTAATGATGGAGAGGGGCATGGTGGTCATTAATGAAAATTTGGGAGAAAAGGAGGGACCAGTGTGTGCATAAATGGGAAAGAGGGTGCATAATTGGGGGCGGTGACAGAGCCAGGAATCTCAATAGGGGGAGGCTGACTTGTACTGTTCCCGCTACTAGATTGAAAAGAAGAACTTTACTTCCGGCGATAGAGGAAGAAAGAGCCCCGTGCATCGTCTTGAGACAGCTTAGGCGACCTAGACAGGGAAATGAAAAGCAAGGGCAGCCAGCTAGATCAGATGAATAGTCCCGAGATGAGTGATCGTCGGTGCTTTCAACAGTAGGAGTAGGAAATTTTCTTAGTTTAGCTTTTGTGTAACGAGACAAGCAGTTGCTAGCTAGATTAGATTGGAATTTGGGTGACCACCAAACACAAGAAACCACACCATGAAAAAACCCCACAAAGCTTAGGAAGATATCACAACCTCATCGCACCACAAATTTATAAAAGCACAACACAAGTTCCACAAAGCACACCACAAGTTATTAACTGACACAACTCTCATAAAGCTTATCATAAGTTTATAAAAGCACAATACGAGTACCATAAAGTATACAACAAGTTTCTTAAAACACACAAGTCCCTGAAATATACCAGAAGTATCATAAGCACACGAAAAATTTATAAAAGCACACCACAAGTTCTATAAAGCACACCACAAGTCTCATTAGAGCATACCACAAGTTTATTAATGAACACCACAAGTTTCTTAAGGTATACTAGAAACCTCATAATAGTGGACCTATTTGTAAATTTTAAAAAGTTCAAGTATCAAAATGTGATGAAATGTTTTTAGTATACAAATGATGTTTTGGTACATGAACTTAATAGATATTAATATTTAGTGTCTAAAATCAATTGTACAGATAGGTCCTAAAAATATATTACATTTTAAAATTTATTTTTCAACTACAATATTAATATATCTATTAAATTTAGTCACCAAATATTAATATTAATATATCTATTAAATTCAACTACAATAACTGTAATCTATATATACAACTTCAAAGACAACATAGATGAAGAGGAATAAGGCAGGAGCCTAAATGTCCTTATTAAAAGGGTTCGCCTCTGTCTCTTCATGAGGTGACACCAAACCTTTTCCTTGATGAATATGAGTGATAAAAATCTCTAGAACTGTGGATATTCGCTCAAGTCCAACGCAATTGGACAGGGTAAAAATTCGAACCCAAATGATTTTCATTGGTACAGGTAAATTCGAACCCGAATATTGCGGGTAATGGGTGGATATGATTTTTGTACTATCCAAAACACGTTTAACTCCAAAACACGTCATGTCAGTTAAGACCGGTTTCTTATTTATCCGTCACGATTTTTGATTTGGGGTACTGAGCATGTCTAACTTTAGAGTTCTTATAAGAATATACCCTTTCATTTCACCCTAAAAAACATTTTATCAATTTAGGGTTAGTTTCTTACTTATGAACCATAAATCTCAATTCGTATTGTGTCAATGTGAAATTTGCCAAAGGTATTTACATCATCCAACTGTAAAACTCGTTGAAGAGAAGCATCTTCCTTTCTTCCGTCCGTCCTTAATCCTTCCCTCCCTTCGTCTATCTATTTGACTATATCTCTCTCTCCTCCTTCCGCTTCTCAGCCTTGCTCTTCCGCCCGCCCACGTATGTTTCCGCCATCTCTCTTGCCCTGACATCACAACTGACAAGAATTCGAGGGCTACTCGTTGATGTTCCCTTAGAGAAAATCATCATCGATTTCAGTTACTTTTTGTCCTCTGTACATTTCTCTATCTCCTCCGTCGGTCTCTACCTTAGACAGAGCGGTAGCGGGTTACCTGTCTGGGGGACACTCACAGCTATGGGTAATTGGAAGAATCGCCCGTCTCGGAGATGGCACTATAATCAAGATAGACGACCTCCCAAATCGTATTACGATTCTCACCCTCCTACTTGTCAAGGTATAAGTTATAACCATCATCTTTGTTCTTGTGTTTTTGCTCCTGGACCGTTGAATCTCGATGAAATTATTCTCTTTTTCTAATGAAACCTTAGATTGAATCAGCCCTTTCTTTCCGCCGATTCTTGATTTGGGTATTCGCTGTTCTCCTGCTTCTGGGGGTTTTCATGGCTTGTGGCTAGTTGATGTTGCTGGGGTTTTCACGTTCTGTCTTGTAATGTTCTGTGTTTGTTATGTGAAATCAAGTAGAAGCTCAGGGAACCTGTATGGTTGGTTAAAATGATCTTCTAATATTGATTTGTTATATTTTGTTTGGATTGAGTATATTAAGAAAGTTGTAGCCATTCATTTGATGCTGCTAATGGAAGGATGTGATGGTTTTGAGAAATGAAGAGTGTTTTTGGAATTGGCTTTCAGTTTCCTTAATATCCCGTTTTTGCCTAGCATGCTGAAGGATACGAAGGGTCGCAGATAGAGATAGTAACAGGTTACTCAACTTGTATGGTTTCAGATTTTGATGTCACTAGGTCTGCATGCAAAGTCATTGGCCATCGTCATAGCTTAATGCCATCAACAGATATTACTGTCCTGTACATCTCTTTCACGATGTGGTGTTTACATTGTGTGTGTTACTAGATTTCTTTGTTGCCATTGTCGCATTTTGTTTTATGTCATTTGTGCACTTTAAACTGTTGTCGTTTTGACCGGCATAACATTGATGAACATCACCTGATAGGGATTATTCAATGGAGCAATTGCTTAATGAACAAGTGCCATTCCTTTTCTGCTACTGCTTGTCATTGTTTGCGTCATGCTTGTTGCCATGCCAAGCATTTTGTGATGAAAATTTGCCCGGGGCTTGTTACTGTGGTGTGTGTCCGAGGGCGGCAAATCTTAAAATTTGACATCTATTTTTGGTTTCATACAAAAGATTCATGATTTTATGAGACATAAGAACTTGAGTGCCTCCTTGGTTCATCACGATTCTAGGGATATAATGTACGCGTTTATAACTTAATCAAAAGAACTACATCAGTAGAAATCAAGAGCAGGTTTAGTCATTTCGATGGTACTAGCTGGCTAATTCTGAAGCAAGAAAATACATTATGTTTTGTTGATTCTGCTACTGCTTGTCATTGTTTGCGTCATGCTTGTTGCCATGCCAAGGATTTTGTGATGAAAATTTGCCCGGGGCTTGTTACTGTGGTGTGTGTTCGACGGCGGCAAATCTTAAAATTTGACATCTATTTTTGGTTTCATACTAAAGATTCATGATTTTATGAGACATAAGAACTTGAGTGCCTCCTTGGTTCATCACGATTCTAGGGATATAATGTACGCGTTTATAACTTAATCAAAAGAACTACATCAGTAGAAATCAAGAGCAGGTTTAGTAATTTCGATGGTACTAGCTGGCTAATTCTGAAGCAAGAAAATACATTATGTTTTGTTGATATTGGTACATCTGTTTAGTAATCCTGAATCTGACTAGCATTGGATTTATTTTCTGTAGAGTATGTTGAGGATGGTGTTCCTGTATGGGAAAAGGAGTTCTGTTATGCTGTTGGTGCAGTACCTTGGCATAAGGTTGTAGATGCCAAGAAGTTCTCCTACTGCCAAAGTCAGGTCCTCAAATGGGATGACTCAGCCGGAAAAGAGGCATTTCATAATGCCAAAAAACGTTACTGGGCAGTTATTAATGGTCTCCCATGCGACGTACCTCCACCGGATCCTAATGCTTGTATTGATGAAATAAATTGGAATCCTTATATTGACGCTGAACTGATTCGAGAATTGGAGCAAGAGTATTTTGCTCCAGTTGATGACGAGAGGAACTTCGGTAATAGAAAGAAAAAGACCAAGAACTTGTTCTCTCATCCGCTAGAAGGTTGTAGTATGAATCCTGGAGACGATGCGGTGAACCCTTGGGGGGCTCAGAACTTTGTGCAAATCAGTAGTGCTGCTGTCAATGCTGAATGTCAAGGCTGGGGGGATCAGTGGGATGATAACCTGAAAGAATCTAATGATTCAAATAAAGCTGATAATAACCCCTGGGAGAAGGCCTGCCATCAAGGAGATGAAGCTGTAGACGGGAGCAGAGGCTGGCCAGTTTTAGGTGATAATTCATTGGGATGGAACCCTTCTTCTGTCTATGTTGCTACAAAATCGAATGGTTGGGTGAGTGGAGGCAATACTTGGGAGGGCAACGGTGAAGCTACTAGTATCCCTTCTAAGACTGATGGTTGGGGTGAATTTCGGGATCGGTCTTGGGGTGATAATCGATATCATCCAAGAAGACTGAAAAATGGTCAGCAACCTAGGGAAGGCAGCTTTGAAGCTAGTGGTACTCAGAATGATAGTGGATGGAGAAATAAAAGCAGCAGTCAAGCATGTGTGGGGAAAAAATGGGATGAACATGCTGCTGAGGAACCCAAAAACTCGAACTATAGAAAGCCAGGTTGGGGAACCTGGAATAAGGATTCCTGGAGGAATGATGGCGGCCATCAAGATGGAACAGGATACAGCAGGACACGACCTAGGTTTGATGATGGTAACTACGAATATCGAGCAGGCGGTCACCCTTGGAGGGGTAAGAAGAGGGTAAGTTTTGGTTATAGCTAAGTAAAAGCATTTTGTAGAGTATATATAGAATGTGCCCTTTTGTTATGTGGGACGAGAGAGTGTCTTGTGGCTTACGTTGTGTTTATGAAGAAGTGTCTTACGGCGACTTCCCATCTCCATCATCCAAGTAAGTGTTCACTGTGTGTTTTTGCTGCTGATCATGACGCAGTTCAGCGTTCTGTATTTGATGTCGCAGTTTTGTCTGGTGTCGAAATTCATTAAACTAAAATCAAATAACCTGTAATTTGGATGACGGAAAGACGCACGCTTCCATAGCTATAACAAGTTGGTACGTTTTCGAGTGCTTCTTTCCACTTTTTTGTTCCATGTTTATTAGTAGGTTCCTCCAACTTATAGACCTCTAATCTATTATACGCTCTCGAGTTAGGTAACTAGTTCGTGGAGCAAGAGCGGGAGAGCGTAAGAGCTTTTAATTTTCAATAATGTTATTTTCAGAGCGTGACAAAAGCGTTAATATTATATTATTTTTATTTAAATATTGTATTATTTAAAATCAATACCAACCACAAAATATATAATTTTATTAATTTTTTCGACTAGTAGGGGATCAACTCCCATATAAATGAATATGATTCTCCCTGCTATCACTAAAATATTGTTTTAATTAGAAGTAGAAATAAAAACATTATTTTTATGAAAAACCTGGTTGTATATTGTATTACATGGAAACAAAAGGTTTACGACCCACAAAAGCCAACAGCTTCAAGAATTGTGTACAAGAAATGGAGTGGATACCCAGCCCAGCCATATACATTCCACGGCGGAGCCCAATGACACAGAAAATGTGCCACACAATTCTGACGTCTTGGAGAAGTCACTCGTCCTTCCATCTCAGATCAAGAACTGTTCGATCCTTATCTCTGCAAATCAGGAGGGAGATTAGACACATGCAATCTGTCTCCACCGCTGAAGGCCCGATGCCATGCATGTCGATTCGGAAGCTTAAAACCCGTCGCCATGACATCTGCATGGTTTCAACTAACAAGAATTCCCCTTATCCTTCTTCGAGAAAGCTTGACAGAAGAAACCTCGATCATCTCAAATAACAACTGTCAATTCAAGCTAAAAGAAACCCACCAGTGCACGCGACCCATGGTTTGATTGACGAGGTTGCCCCTGTGTTTTCTCGTTCGGATGCAGGGGACTACTAATTCTTCTTTCTGCTAGCTGTCTGTTAAGTTTCTCACCCCTTTTACCTGTCCGATCTCTTCCACCAACTCCGTTCGAGCCAAGGCTTATAGATTGGCGGCAACATGACTCTTGATTCTTCCATCTTGCCACAATTTCCCAAAGAAAAGTTCAATTGGAGAAGCCGATGAAGAACTTGGTCCAGATTGAGAGAAGTATTTGATGATAAGGTGAGATGATATCTATCAAAATCAATATTGTTTGAGAAGATAATAAAAAAATGCTGAGAACAAGGACAAGTCGCGCTCTGCGTTTCAAAGTTCGCGCTCTAGCTAAATATAATTCGCGAATTATAAGCGAATTTTCTGGAATTCGCGATTTGGCGGTTGAAAGCGGGAGCGCTACCGTGTAAGTGGCAAATTGTATATCCTAACTCTCAAGGGATGGAGGAACCAATTTGAGAGAACCCCGCTTCTAGGATTTTCGATATTGATTTTCGGCACTCGTGATAATTAGGGATTTGGGGGTTGAGAGAAAGAATTAGGGATTTAGATGAGAAGAACATAATAGAATTGGGAATCGGTCAAGGCCTTGGATTAGGAGAGGATATAAATTAGGAGTGGAGAGGATAAACTAGCGTTTAGGAGACTGTTCTTAATATTTTGCTTGACTCCTTATGAAGTAAACCCAAAATACATATTTATAGGGAAATACTGGAAAACCCTAATAATAATCCTAATACGACTAAATCTCTACTAACCATAATTATAATTATCCTACCTAATATAATAATAGAAAACCTAAATAAATGTGTTTCTGACAATCCATCCCCCTTGAAAACAACCTTGACCTCAAGGTTGTAGTTGACTTCTACCTCCTTAGCCTTTCGCTTTCTTCGTTTCCAATTGCGCTCGATCCCTTGAATGAACTCTTCTCGCACCAGTCCAACTTTCCTCGAATCTCCTCCACGCACGTGACATGTGTCACGTTCTTCATAGCCGAACAATCCGCCATCTTCCTTTTCGAAATCAACGAAATAAGAATCGGAGAATAGTTCTTCATTTTGCCCATCATCATTACCCACCTTGAGATCTTCAATGAAATGCTCCATAAATTCCTCTATGGTCTTGGTGGCGAATTTAAGCTCTAGCCTTTCCCAATCTTCTTTTCTCTTATCCTTGATTTGGCTCACAAATACTTGAAAAAAAGAGGTGTGGCCCAAATCATTGGCAAACTTCTTTGTGTTCTTCTTCTTCTCAAATTCGTTTGGGCCTTGCTCTCTTGCAAGCCCATCCAACAACATAAAGACCTCCTCCAAGCCTGGCTTTTTTAAGGCACAAACCACATGGGGCTCACTCTTTCCCTGCAAAACAGATCCAATAAAAGAGCAATTGTGTGGCCCAAGTCTTACTTGGTTCGGCCCACTTTGTTGGCCAAGCCTGGCAGACTTCTTCTCCTCTTCCCAGCCTGGTCCTTCCAACTTAACCTGGCCCACGACCCCAATGTTTTGGCCCAACAGAGGCAACAACGGCTGATGTGGTGGTCCTTGGTCCCAGGCTCCATCCCTAGGGCTTTCGAGAGAACAAAGGCGACCGCCACCCCCTTCTTCCTCGGTTCTTCTTCTTTCCTCGTCGGCGAACCGGCTCTCCTGCGGTACGGCGGCCAGCCGCAACCCGTCGCCGTCTTCCACTCTGCTTCGTCTTCTCATCTTCGCACAACGCCGCCGCTGCACTCCTTCTCCGCAGAACAATCCTCCGTCGCTTCCTCTCTCCTCGGCGGCGCCCGCTTCTCTTCGTTCGTCGGCGACGAGCCACCCCACTCCTTCTCCGGCGTCTCGTCGAACGCCGCCAGGTCCCTCCGGAGGTCCCTCTTCTTCTCCGGCGTTGGGCAGTTCGCCAGGCGGTGGCGGTTAGATCCTGAGGCCACGCTAATCATCGTTGTCGCCAACTCGATCCCAAATCTCCGGTCAATATTGACGTGGGGACCCGCCATCTCCGAGCAGCTCATCTGAACCCTGGTCGTTCCAATCAAGGGTGACGGTGGTGTCGCAGGGGAGGCAGCTGTCCCTGCAACTGTCTTCTCGGCAGCCACAGTTGGCTTCTTCGACGCAGCTTTGAGTGGAGCAGTCCGCTCGACGTTCTTGGACAGCAACGAGGACGAGGTAACCTCGTTCCTCCTCATCTCACCCAACTTCGACTTTAAAATCCTTGTGAGTTCCTTGATCGAGAGCTCTTCGAATCTCGACATGACTCCGGTACGAGTGCCTGTAACCGGGCTTTGATACCAATTGAGAGAACCCCGCTTCTAGGGATTTTCGATATTGATCTTCGGCACTCGTGATAATTTGGGATTTGAGGGTTGAGAGAAAGAATTAGGGATTTAGATGAGGAAAACAGAATAGAATTGGGAATCGGCCAAGGCCTTGGATTAGGAGAGGATAGAAATTAGGAGTTGAGAGGATAAACTAGGGTTTAGGAGACTGTTCTTAATATTATGCTTGACTCCTTATGATGTAAACCCAAAATACATATTTATAGGGAAATACTGGAAAACCCTAATAATAATCCTAATACGACTAAATCTCTACTAACCATAATTATTATTATCCTACCTAATATAATAATGAAAACCCTAAATAAATGTGTCTCTGATACTATTAGTACTGATAGTCTGTTTGTTTACCTTGAGAATGCTGCAAGACTTTTGTAGCAGTTGTCAATGTGGCGAATTGCGTTGATTCTATGTTGTCACTTGGTTGATAGAATACTTGATTATGATTCCGCAATATTTCAATTTATTATTTAAATTTTCCTCATTGCTCATTCACCATAATGTGCTGGACCTCAGAGTGACGCCCTTCTTTCCTTTCATTGCAATGCCAAGCATTCGAGTTCAACCTAGTTTCCCTTGTAGCTTGGTAATCCCAAATTACAAATGGTGACTAGTGACACGCCAAAACACAACACCAAACTGCGACCAAGTGTAATCGCAGTCCGGGAATGCAGTAACAGGCAAGTTCTATTATCAACCCGGGGTCTAGATCTACTGCTTACTCCGTGATTCTCTATTATCTAGCAAACTAATTCGAGTGATTGTTGTTTAAAGCGAAAGCAGTAAGAACGCAGTAAATTGTTCGATTTTCAAAGTCAGGAAAGAGTCACTCGGGATTGAGTCCCCCTAGCCCCTTAGTTAGGTTCAATTGTAATTCCCCTGGGTTGATTCACTGTTGATTAGACTGCGGAAGTTCCGACAGTAGCTTGGAATCTCTTAAGTTGACCAAGCCCTCTCAGTCTAACTACCCGGCAGACGACTAGTCTTCACCGGGATAGAAAGCTGAGGCTATGAACACAGAACTCCACTACTGGAATTGAATTCCAGTACAAAGCAGTAAACTGGCTAACTCTCGTATAGCCAATCTCCTACTATCGAATGAAGAGGCTCTAACAACCTAATCAGATTCTATCTATCTCAGGTTGCAGCAGAAATCGAGAAAAGCTGATCAGACTCCAATCAATTCAATAAACATGCATCATTCGATTAAAATCAAACAGTAATATCATCCCAAGTCATTACAATCAAATCCCTAACACAAGGAACTAGGGTTCTTCATACCCAAGTGAGAGAAGGGTTCTACTCCATAGAGAGAGAAGAGAAAACAGTAATCGGAGTAGTCATACTCATAATGATGAGGAAAATCTGCTCCGGGATGATGATTTCCACTCCTATGACGATCTCCAAGCTCGATTCGATGAAACCCAGCTCCAAGATAGCTTCTAGGATGTGTTCTTCGTACTTTCTCTCTCTAGGGCTCTGTTTCTGCTCTGAAAATTCTGATTCTCCCACTTTTTGCTCGAAATTGGCTCAAAAACCAGAATTTCCCGACCCACACGGGCAGGCCACACGGCCGTGTGACTCACCCACTTGGCCGTGCGGCTCAAAACGCAGCGTATGGTTTAGTTCGGTCTTCAGGCTTCTCACACGGCCAGGGTGCACGGCCGTGTGGATTTCATGAGCTGCCCGTGTTTGCTCTCGGTGGAAATCACACGGCCACAATTGCACTTTGCACGGCCGTGTGACACCCAGGACTGCCCGTGCGGCTTCCTTGGCACCTCGCCACGCGTCCGAACTTCGTCCAATCGACCCCAGACTCGCTCCCAAGCCTCCATTCACGTACTAGGACCTGAAATATCACAAACAAGCACAACCTAGCGTGAAATCGGCCTAAAACACGAGAATCAACACCTCAAACGGTGTAAGAACGGGGGTAAAAACATGTGTAAATGACGGTCTATCAACTAGCTGTATGTAATTCCCATGAATGGGAGAGCTATATATTAAAGCAGCAGCCCGGAGACATTACAGGCTATTCCAAGTAAGAGGGGAAATCCCCAAGCATCTCGTAGGGCATTTTCCGTGGGCTCCTTTCTTCCGTTTGCCTCCTAGTCGCAATTGGATGAACTATCATAACCTATTGTACCTGCAACCTTGACTGCCTGCCAGGTCACCTATTCCTGTCATCAGCTTTGGGAAGGTAGTTGTTTCACTTTACTATGCGGAGCTACAACAAATCATGCATACAGTTCGGGTTCCCTTTTATCATTTTTGTCAAATCCCACGAGGCATGGCTTTACAGACCACTGTCCCGTCCTCTGCGGTCTCAACTTGTTCCTTAGGACTTACTTGTCATAAAGGTTGAGTTTGTGGTGTATTTTGTAATTGGCCCATACCCTCCAAACAATCAGATGTGCTAATAGTTTAGACAAGGGTATTTGCTAGGAAATTCCCTCGAAGTGGTACTTCTGATTCTTCAGATCCAGATACACGACCTCCAACTAAGGAGAGGGCTTCTAAGAAAAAGTAACTCGCAACTCTTTGTCTTATCCCTCTATTCGACGAGTGTTCAAAAGTGAAAAGCAACAAGCTCCCTTCTGAATGAAAACTGCTAGAGGCATGGCTGAATGAACTCTCTATGATTACAGTAGTTGTCAAGTTGTGAACACTGCTTCCAGCATTTTCTACCAGCGCTGAATATTCCAAATTTTGAGTTGTGAACTTCTGTGAACCATGTGGTCCAGAATGTTAGATCTTTGAGGGGTGAGATAATGAAAATTTCTTCATATACATTAAAGCATATATGGAGATATGTGATTCTGCACAACATCCAAGTGTTGAGCCAAACATAATCAGCTTATGCATCTTTCCTTTATCCATCTGATGGAAAGAAAAGAGTTGGCTAAATCGCCAACCACCTGGTACTTAGTTAGCCACCAAAAGTTTGAGGAGCATAGTTGTTATCAAGATAACAAAGCCAACAAGTAATGAGCAGCAGCGGGGAGGGAACTAGCCGGAGGGGGAGTTTCCACAACGACAAATATAATACCTAAGGCGTGCAATTCGACTTTAAGTAAAGTATATCTATCCAATACGACATTATAGCCCAATATCGCACTCGTTCAATTGTACCACAATGAAGAATTGAAGAATGCTCTAGTCAGCCCAATTGGATATTCTCTACCTTAGATTAAAAGATCAAATTGGAGAGTGTGATCAATACCCAATCAATTTCACGATAATAATACAATTCAATATATAATCAAGAGTGTAACAAGAAATCAAGATGTAACAAGCATAGGAATCTCCTTCGAGAAATGGATGCAACTCCAATTTAACCCAAAAGTGCGCAATTCAAGGTCACACGTCATAGCCGGGACTTTCAACATAAAACCATGACATCAGCCAAAAGTGTGTTGTTTCACTTACACAAGTAACAAATGCTTTTGTGGATGTCATGGTTGAAACTGTGAATTCTGCATCACCCACGACCTATGGTTCAACTCCTGGAACTTTTCTAATCTCATGACCTCCCTTGTCGATGTCACGGCATGGGCCGTGACATTTTTGCAATGAACCGTGACATCTGAAATTTCTTGCATTTGTCTCCGTTTTCGACTCCAAATGGTATGACAATTATTCCTTCAACCAATTCACCTACTAGGATATGAAATATACTAAACCAAGCACAAATTAGCGTGGAGCTGGCTAAAGAACGACAAATATCAAGCCAAACGATCAAGGATAGAGGGTATAAACATGTATAATTACGCTTGAATCAAACTCATCCACACTTAGCCGTTTTCTTGCCCACAAGCAAACCTATCTCAAACTTGTGCAAATTACTAGCCTCCCACAATAAATTGATATCAAGATCGTCATTAGAGGGTCAATTAGAAACTTATGAGGTCCACAGAGACAAGAAATCTTCCTACCACTTCGGAGAGAAGCACACTCTCAATCTAGGACCTTGCCAACTAGTGGAGCTAAGACATTTGATACATGCATGAAGGGCCTCTAAAAAAGGTTAGAAACCATGGACGCGTTTGGTGGTTCTTCTAATTCAAAGGGTAAAACTTTAGAGCATAAATTTAAATTTTCCTCTCATAGCAGCAAACCTGCAGTTTCGCAAATACAAGTGCTCTATCTCATGGCTAGAGTGGAAGTGACATCCACTTGCCTATCTAGCCCATTCAGAGATAGAGTTGTACAGTTAGGATGCAAGGTAGTAAGAGAAGGGTAGGATACAAGATGATCCTAGACTCATGTTAAGCAACATTTTCCAAAGTGCACTTACATCCTTAGGATCGATCTATTGCGATTGGCCTAAGTTAGCGATAGGTTGCCACAACATTTGAAATAAACAAGAGCCGATGTCTCTCAACTTGATCAAAAGAAACAATGTCTTCTCTATCAAGTCCCATGAGCAGTAGAGGTGTAAAGGAGGATGGAGAGTAGTAGGTGAAGGTTCGTAAACAATATCCTTGTCTCCCTTACACATCCTCAAAGCGCAAATTAATTTTAGATAAACCGTTCAACGAATTCACTAAGAACTTTGCCTTGTTGCCACAATATGCGGGGCACCCTTTATCATATTTAAAGCACATTCATTCAAGAACTGAGCACCTTGTTACAAAACCTTTCGAGTCCATAAGGGTAGAGAGTTACCAACCCAAGTGTTCTAACACCACTAATTACCAATATCAACCAACAAAAGGTGAGATGGAGGTTAGATTTCTCAAGTATAAACATCCTCCACAGTGCTACACTACCCTCTCTAGATTGCACACCATAATGATATCTAACAATTCAAAGCACAATGAGTATGACAATGCATAAGACAAGATGTTTGGAACCCTCAAATTTAAAAATTTGGGCATACACAATACTAGCTTTCAAAACACTTTCAATGTAGGCCAAAAGACATTCATTTACACATGTACTTAGATTCCTCAAATTTTTCAAGTTTGGGCATTCATCTAAGCTCTAAGCACTCATAAGATAGGTTAAATATTCATTCACACACCATTCGTCACATATATTCAGCATCCCCCATACTTAAGCATGACATTGCCCTCAATGAAGGAAATAGATGTGGGTGGAACAAAGTTATCGAGATGGCAAATGAAGAGTTGTACTGGAGTTAGAACTAGTTTGGGAGAGAAGCTAAAACAAGAGGCAAACACATATACAAACTCACATGGGGGAATTTATTACAAAAATATAATTAATTACAGTCCAAGGAGAAAAGAAAAAAAAAATAGTTCAAATTCAAACACACTTGAACAAAAGAAACTCAAGAGTCATAAGAGAGAGTAGAAAGAGTGGTGGTATCAGTTGTGGCAATCCCATGGAAATAAATCAATTGTTGTCTTTCCCATCTTCATCCTTCTAACAAGACGGGGAGGGAACCCAACCAAATATGCTATAGTCAATTTCGTGATGGAATAACATTTGTGGCTCCATGAAATGAGAGTGGTGTCTGGCCTCCCTCTCTTTGTCAAAGCATGACTCCAGGGGAGAGTACTGGCCCTCCAAGGAAGTGAGCCTAGAATCAATGGAGGAGGAAGGTTCATCTCCAAAAGCTGAAGAAGACGGTTTAGCTTGGACCGGATGGTGGTAAGGGGTGGCATCTGAGCTTCCTCGACAGGCTCCTCCTCACCAGCAAAAACTCGCTTGAGAAGTCCAACATGACACAGTGCGACAACGAATGGGATGCCCCTTTAACCTGGATGAGTTCCATACGGGCGAGTGTATAGTCATGGAAGAGCTCGCAGGCGCCGACTTGGGTGCAGATGGCGAGGTCGACTCTAAGGTTTAAGATGTTGTCTTCATTCGACACTCGTTGCTAATTACTATCTTCGTTCGTGTCGGTTCCTGTGCCCTATGCACTCCGTACTCTAGATTTCAATGTGTGTGCCTCTTGTGGAGAATATGTAAGTTTATTAGTTTTATGGTTGTTGAGTTTATTCAAGCACATGTCTACATTTTAGGTGTGTAGTTTTCTTTCCATCTTTAAGAACTTTCCTCATCCCTTCTTCCTCCCTTCAATCCTGCTCATTGGTGTCCCTCCACCACCAATAATGGCCTCTTAAAGATCTTTGACGCTAATGACTTCTATATTCTTATTCGTCAGGTCTAGGTGTTCCTAGCTTTAATAAACTTGTTTGGTTGACTTCGAGGTGTATACATCTTTGCATTGTAAAACTGATATTGCGAAGCTCCTTGCTGCTTAAGCTACCTTTTCTTTGAAGCCAACAATCATAAGGCAATGGTAATCATCATGGGTGTCTTGGAGGTTTTCATTCGTCAACTCCATAAGGTTATTTGTTCTAATGTGCTCCGGTTATTAAGATCTTGCATGAATGCTTCTAGCAGGCTTCCACATTTGCAAATGGTGTAGTCTATAGGGAAGTTTCTCGTGTCTTTAATTGATTTAGTCATCGAGTGATGTGGAAAACCCTATCAATATCTTCAATGGAGCTTGTGTAGATTGATTTTGTAGTATGGTCATTGTAGTCTTCTTTAGGCTGTAAGGGGGTTAGAGTTTTTATTTGTCTAGAGTTACATTTTCTTAATATTTTTTGGGCAAAGATAACACTTCAAAAGAAGAGGAAAAAGGAAAATAAAGATGTTAGAAGGAAAAATAATAACAAAATTCTTTATAGGAGGATATTTTCCTATAACTTGTGGAAAGATGAACATATGCACCAAAGTAGGAAGAATGCTAAGACAAAAATCAAACTTCCTATACCAATAAATCATAAAAGTGAATAAGTGAAAAATGTCTAGCAAATTGATTCTTCTTTTTGTCTGATACTTGTCCCTAAGCAATTGATTCCAACACTTTTAAGCCATATTCGGACCACGGGGAAGAGGTTCATAACCATCATGTTGTTGCCCTGAAGATTCATTCCCTTCGCTTCCATCAACAGGAATGCATTTTAGGATAGGAGCAATTATCAAACTCACAGCTCCAATAAGAATGCTCAACCCCCATAGCTCCCAACTTAGAGGCACTGTGCCAGCAAATGTCCCCAACAACTCAACCATCAAAATTTGGAACCCTATTGTCGAAACCAAGACACCCAGGAAAACCCAGCTATCAAAGATCCCTCTAAACACATTTAGCTTCTCCATATCTCTGCTGTTTATTTCATTGAATACCTGGAGAGAGTTTGAAGAATTGTCAGTTGTTGATGCTTTTTTCAAGCTAAAAGATGCACGACATTTAAAGTGATTTTTTGTTTGTACCTGGCAAAAGACAAAAGTGTTGAATATGAAGGTGTTCACAGTGTCAGTGGCATCGCTACCATGAAGTTTCAACATGCTTTTTCCTTTGAATTGAAGGATTGCCAAAACAATGATCTGGTAGATGCTCTGGCCTATGATGTTTCTCCACATTACTTTTGTAATAAATTTTGTGCTCCTACCTATTGGAGGTCTCTTCATTAGTCCATCATGTGGTGGCTCGGTTGCCAAAGCTAATGCTCCAAGAGTGTCCATAATCAAGTTCACCCAAAGTAACTGGACAGTGGTAAGTGGAGCATCACCTACGAGTCAATTATAGCAAGTGTTGTTAATCAATAAGAATATTAGAAAGTGGGAGAGAGGGGGGGGGGGGGGAGAGAGAGAGAGAGAGAGAGAGAGATGTATAGAGAGAAAACTACAAACCTGAGATGCAAGCAGACATAAAGTTGATCATTAGAGCCACAACATTAACTGTTAACTGAAACTGTACAAACTTCTGAATGTTTATGTACACAGATCTACCCCATTTGGCCACATTCACTATTGTTGTGAAGTTATCATCCATTATGATTACATCAGCACTTTCTTTGGCTACCTAAAAATGTTGATAAATATATCATTCTTTTATTAGAGGACAAGTTTTCTTTATAGAAATGTAACATTAAACAGGAGAGATCTTAGGGAGTAAATTACTTCAGTTCCAGCTATACCCATGGCAAGTCCAATGTCAGCCTCAGCTAAAGCAGGAGCATCATTTGTTCCATCACCAGTGACTGCCACCACTTCTTTAAACTCACTCCTTAATTGAGTCACTAACTTGTGCTTGTCTAAGGGCAATGATCGAGCCATAACCTGCAGTAATGATAGCTTAAGCATGGTACTTATTTTGTTTGGTCACAAAACCTAATGGTATGATTTTCAAAAGCTATTATGTTACAACACCTGAAGTTTTGGTATGATCTCTTCCAACTCACGAGAGCTTTTATCTCGAAAATCCAAACCCTCAATAGCCAATCCACCATCAGTCAAAATGCCACATTCCCTGGCAATAGCTTTTGCTGTATTAATATTGTCACCAGTAACCATACGAACCTTAATCCCAGCAGCTAAACAAGTCTTGACTGCTTCCCTAACCCCAGGCCTAACAGGGTCCTTAATCCCAACGATACATATCAATGTGTAGCCATCTTCAGGGATATTGCTACCTTTTGAAATAGCCTTCCCTACATCTTTGTAAGCCAAGCATAGAGTCCTCAAAGCTTCAGATGCAAAATGATCGATAACATTCATGATCTTCTTCCTTTCCTGGTCAGATAAAGAAATATTTTTTCCATCGGAGCCTAGTACCTTGTCACACATTGTCAAGATTATTTCTGATGCACCTTTGCAGAATGCTCTAAATCCTTTTCGTTCCGGGAGTGTTACGAGCACAGACATCTTTTTCTTAACTGAGTTGAATGGCTCTACTTTAACTATATCATATTCCCTACGATGGACTTTGAAATCACCCCCTAGAAGCATTCCAAACTCTAGGATTGCAGTCTCAGTGGGCGTCCCCAAAATGTTAGTTTTCCCATCTTTCCCCTTCACAACCTCGGATCCTGTGTTCTGAAATATGGCATGGAGAAGCATATCAAACACATGTTCTGAGACAATTGACTTGATAACCTTGTTTGTGTCTGCAACACCACCTTTGATTAGTTTCGTCTCTCCACAAATCCATACTTTGTTGACAACCATATGGTTGGTGGTCAGTGTCCCAGTCTTATCAGTGCATATGCAGCTAGCAGAGCCCATCGTCTCACAAGCAGAAAGATGTCTCACTAAAGCTCTATCATTCATTAATTTCTTCATCGCAAATGCGAGACTTAAAGTGACCGCCAAAGGCAGCCCCTCTGGGACCGCAACAACAATAATAGTAACCGCAATAGCAAAAAAATTCAAGAGCTGCAAGGCATCATCCATGGACCATTCAGTCAACTGGTCATTATTTGCCTTGGTGAGAAGATATCTCCCTAGGAGAACCAAGAATGTCATCATGGCAAAAGCCAGACCAATCTTCCCAATTATCGTCGCAACTCCATTTAGCTTGACCTGCAATGGCGTTTCTTCATCTCCCGTTTCACTCAAAGTGACCATCAGTCTTCCCCATTCTGTCCTCATCCCTACTGATGTAACCATCATTTTACCAGAACCGTCTTGAACTTTGGTTCCAGATAGTAAAAATGGTCTGTCTTTGTGTACATCCACAGGCTCGCTCTCACCAGAAAGGCTAGATTCATCGATGGACAAGCTATGGCCTGAAATAAGCACCCCATCTGCTGGAACCAAATCTCCAATTGAGAGGTGAACAATGTCCCCAACCACTAAATTGTATACCGAAACCTTCTGCCTGCAACCTTCTCTAGTAACTTGAACCATAATATTCTTCTTCTCCTTATCCAAAACCTTGAATTGTAATGACTGCTTGTAGTCACTCACGGCTGTAACCATAACGACCAATAATATGCAGAGGATTATCCCGACCCCGTCGTACATGCCATCAGGCCAACCTTCAGTGGCAATGCCAACACCGACAGATATAACAGCACAGACCATGAGAATGATTAGTGTCAAGTCATGAAGAGCTTCCCAAACAAACATCCAGAATGATCTTGCGGGCTTCTCAGCATATTGATTCGTGCCATAGATGTTCTGCCTTAGAGGAACATCACTAGAAACTATGCCATTCATTAGTGAAACTGACACTAGTCTAGACAAGCCTTCAACTCCTCCACGAGATGCCAAGCCCTTCTTGTCATGAGATCTAACCATGGAACCCAAATCATTGGGATCGATGCCAAAACCGGCAAGTTTAACATCATCAGGAAGCTTGTACTCTACCCGGCTTTGGTTATTATTGTTTGATGCAGCTATAGCAGCAGCTGTTGCAACAGAAGGAACCCTTTTATTAATAACAATTCTTTAAGAAATATATATTCAGAAAGAGTATTTCCCGTAACCCATATGTAATGAAAGGCTCAAACCAAAACATTGTTGGCGCGAGTTTTGGTTTAGTACCATCGATGAACTGCAATGCTGCCTTCTGCACGTAGAGTGCCACCCGAATCTTTTCCTAGCAGTACGATTGGAGCATATAGTAAGAAAGAAACTCAAATGAAGTGCTAGTATTGCGCAGAAGAAAATTTCAACTCTTCCAAACCGTCAATTAGAGCTGAGAAATGGTGATAAGAAAATCTCATTCCATGGGGTTTGAGATTTTTTGGTCCTTCACTTCATTTTAGAAGCTTGAACAAACACATAGGAGATGAAAACACAATCCTAGGCTCCTAGCAAACTCATAAATGAGGAAAGACAACAACACGAAACAATGGGGCACCAATACGTTAACCTTACCTCTGTTAGTAACCAGAAGAATAATAAGTCTAAGGCTAAGTTTTATTATTGTATGTTTTAGGCATACCTCTTATTATAAATAAGGAATGCAAATTATAGGTTAGTACTCTAATTAGTTAATAATCTCTGAGTATTTCATTATTCAATATAGCTATCTTAGGGACTCCACCTTTCTTATAAAGTAATGGCATTCAATAAGAGAAAGAAAAGTGATAGTTCTTCTATAAGTGACGATCATAGAAAAATTAATGATACGACCAAGTCATCCAATAACACGAAACCCTCTCAAAGCATAAGAAAAAAATTAAAAAAATGATTAATAATTATTTTTTGCACCAAAAATTTGATATATAACCTAAAATTTGAAGCTAGCTAGCTCTCCACTCCTGAAAACAAAAATAATTCATAGATTTAATGCAAGTCTAAATAATAAATTTTGTAGCATTAATACTTATTCTATCTTCGAATAATTTGATCCATCATATTAATGATTTTCTTCATGGATGTACGCAAAATATTTCTATGATTGGGCTGTTGAGGATCTTAAGTGGATGCTACACCTAAATGTGATTCGCAAGAACAAGTACATAAAAACTCCTTCCCATGTAAAAATAATGTTCCACTATCAACCATATAAATAACTTATGTCTTGATTGGATGAGAGATTTGAAAATGTGCATCCAATTGGGTTTGTAACACATTAAAATTTTTGACAAATGAAATTTAAATGTTTATGCAAATGAAGCATATTTTGGATTGAACTCAAAGATGATGTTCAAATCCTTGGAATCAATGATCCATTATCTTGCAAGCCATCAGAGTTTCAATCCAATCGAATTGAGGTGAAATGCAAAACAAGAATGCTTTCTACAACAGTGAAACATGCATGGAAAGAAGTTTATAAATGAGCCAAAAGTAGATACACAACTATTCTGAAGCTACTATATTTTTCTAGAAAGTGAGGGAGAACCTGAAGTTTTTTACGTTTCTTCTCAGCTTCCGCACGTTTGGCTAGGTCAGCGACCATGCGGAAGCGACGACGAGGGTTCTTGACAACAGAGACGGAGGAGCGCCATCGTCGTAGAGTTTCTTCAGAGGGCCGCTTGGATTGGACGTCAAAATTGTCTCTCAAAAACTTCTCCATTTTTTATGTTAATTAATCATTAGCACGACATAGTAGACGTATACAGTGCTCTATTGATGGCTGCAAGGCATGAGTAGGATGATTAAAGATGAAGAAAGCGACAAAGCATGCAATGATGTGTAAAGGGAAGGGCCGGAGAGAAAGAAAGAGAATTGGATGATTATTATTATTATTTAGTTACATTTCACACGGACATTAATTATTTGATTTTGTTGGATGCGATTTTGAAGCTCTTAAGTGGAAACTTTCAAATAGGAACCACGAATGGCGGCAAGTTTGTGAACTAAAACCGAGAAGCAAGAGATAGGCCCGAAATAAATGATATGCTTACATTTACGAGCGAGATAAATGGCTCTTGTGAATTAAGTGTGGATGACCTATACAATTTGATTCACTTGCTTAGACGTCCATTTAGCTTGTTTTTTTTAATATTGAATTTTTGGCATTCTTAACCTTTTCATTTCTTAGCTTGCGGCATTTTGTAATTTTTCCCCATCTTTGACTTTTTCTTTCTTCACACCTTTTGGTAGCAACATGCCACAATCCTTTTATGGAAAGCTCTCTCAAATGAGAAAAATATTTTCTAGTGACGAATATGGCATCTATATGATACATATATACCATGGATAGCAAATGATATGCACTCCAAGAAGCGACCGAGAGTCAACTGTTCTTGTGTTTGGGACTTTTTCCTCTTTATCCCTCTTCCAGTCATTACTCAAAATTCGTAGTGACGTGAGAATAAATCTTGTCAGGCATCCTTTTGTTTTACTTTTGGGAATTTTATTTTTCCTTTGTTTTACCCAAATTTACCAAATTCAAAAGGGCTTTTCTGAACTCCACACGAATTATTCAGTTCACAAGATCCAATTGTTTTGAAAGAAATCTTCTTAGGTCACCAAAAAGGAGCATATAAAATATTAGCTGGAGAGATGCGAGAGGAAGTGACCCTTACAGAGAGAAAGACTGAGAGAGAGGGTTGTAAGAGTAAACTAGGGGACTCTCCTTCGGTACCAACTCTCTGCAAATTTTATTTTTCCCCCTTTGCACAAAGCACACTTTATGTTGTGGCTGACTCAACAAGACATAGAAAAGATTTTGGTCTTAAGTTTTGGCACTTTCTCAACCTTTTAACCACCAATCTTGAAAATGAATGCCACTTCCAAATTGATGAGCTTGTCAAGGAATGTAAAGTAAAAAATAAGAGCAAACCAAGATCAAAACTTCAAATTGAAATACGTAAGTTGGGGCCACAAATCTGCACCCTCTGTTATGCGACTAACAAAGTCAAAATGGAGTTCTTTTTCTCTTAATCTTGTGAGTTAAATCAGTGAAATTTGGTCTAGTGATTTGGTCACGAAGGATGCTAAAAGGACCAAAGGAGAGATTATCATTTATTGGGGGAAACCGGAAAAGCTATTACCATCTGGTGCAACTTGAGAGGGAAAATTCTCCATTGATGCGAGATCAAAAGTTCTTGCATGAAATTTTGTCTATTCTAGTTGTCTATGGTCCTAAGAAAAGGGGAACTAGCCTTTCTACATAAATTAGATAGGGCGTGCCAGCACTACCTGAAAGCCCTTTATGCCAAAGACTTAATTTAGTGAGATTAAAAGATAACATCATGGGCTAAACATGGGATAATGAGATGATGATGGAATTTAAACTCTAATTAATTCTTGTGGACCCCTAGAATTGCCGCTACAACGGGCTGGATTTTTATGGAGCAATGGTGGAGAAGCTGTCTCTCTCTTTTGTACCAACATATGCTTAGTGAATCAAAATTTGATGAGGCTTTTGCACCAGAATCAATCTCTGCTTTAGACATGATTGAGGTAGATCACATCCCAATCATAATGAAGTGAGGCAACACAGAGAAAGCACACTGTCCCTGAAAGTTTGAGAATATATGGGATGGTGCAAACCTCTTCATGTTCATCCAGAAACTAAGACATTCCAAGAACCTAATCAAAAGGTTAAATGTAGAATAGTTTGGCAAAGTTGAAAAATAATCGATGAAATTCTCGTGAAAATTAATGTAATTTACAACAATGAGAAATAAGATCAGGTGTCAAAATCAAACAGTATTGTCAAAATTTGCTAAAATGTGAAATGAGAGTCCTCCTATTTGAGAAGATCTCTTGGAGGAAGAAATCTAGAGTACTTTGGATCAAATCAGGGCACACGAATACAACCTAATTCCACCACATGGCTGAGAAAAAACAAAGAAGAAATAAGAAATAAGATACAAAAGAGAAGAAGAAAGAGCTGGAAACCGGGACTAATCCTAAGTTGGACATTCAAAAAGCATTTGACATAGCATGATTGGAGTGTCGCTTCAAGATACAAGGTCGTTTCAAGAGTATTGTCTCATCTTGAAACATGTGACCCACTCTCACCACTTCTCTTCAGTCATACCATTGATGTGTTCTCCTTAATCTTAAAACAATAAAGAATACAAGACATATCCCAGGGTTTTATATGGACAAAGTTTGACATAGAGGAGAAGTAACATATTTGCTATATTTGGATGGCACTATTATTCTCTACGATGCGATTAAAGATAAAGTGATCAACATATCGGCTTTGTTAGTGTTTTCCAGGGCATTATAGGTTTGAGAGTAACTATGGAAAAGACTAAGCTCTACCGGGATAGGTAGAGATAGGTGGATGTTACTAGGAGTTTATGCTCACCATATACCTTGAGCTTCCATAGGTGCACCACCTACCTAAACCTCAATTTGAAACCCAGTAATCACAAGGATGCAAAAAAATGCTAGACGGATGGAAAGGAATATACATGTCACTAGTTGGGAGAGTGACCCTAAAAAAATGCTTGGAGAATCAACCCATGTTCTTATGCTCATTATTTAATGCTTTAGCATAATATCCACAGTGGAAAGGATCTGAAACCAATTTATATGATCTGGAACTCAATAGTAGAAAAACTACATTAGTCACTTGAGATTAAGGCAAAGTACTAAAGACGATGAGTATTTTAGGTATCCATGACATATATTCTTATAAAACCGACACTTCTATGAATTGGTTGTGTAGGTTTATTCTAGAAAAGGAATCATGGTGGAGGAAAATGTTACAAGTGAATTTCCCTAATAATGTTTCGTAATGGATGACTGGAGATTGTATTAGAGGAAATGAATGTAGCTGCTTGTCACTAATACTCAAAGTGAAAAACATCTTTTGGAATTATGCACATGTCGAGGCTGTAGGTGGAGAATGCAGGAATGACTTTCCACTATTATCGAACCAATGAAAACCTTCGCCTGGAAGGAGAGAGTGTTTCTTGGGAAATCCCTCACAAAATAAATTTGAAGGGGGCCTAGGTGGGAAATAGAAATATTATTAAACATGTCCTTCTATAAATATTTCAAGACCTAGCAGAATTGTACGAAGGCCATATTGAGTGCATGGCTTCTCTGCATAAAGCATGTACGAATGCCTAGGGAAAGGAAATGATCTAGAATCAAAGAATTTCCCATACAAGGTAGTATGGAAATAAGTAACACAATCAAAGATCTATATTTTCCTCTAGATCTCTGGAAAAAAAAAAGATTCTAACTCGTGACTCATTGAATAAGAAAAGAAGATTAACTAGGCTATCTCTGACCTTCCCTATAGGGAGACATTTTACGTTGTCGGCGAGTTTGACATAGATGTTGCATCCTATAGGTTGTTGAGTTCCATGAATTCATTAACTAGTATGGCATTGTGTCAAGGCTATCTCCAATGTCAATGAGAGGAGGTTGTTAAAGACACACAAGATGTGAAGTGCCTAGTGTTGTGATAGACCATTAATTGCACATGTTTGTACCTCCATTCTTGAGCCGTTTGAGAGTCGATTCTCGTGTTTTAAGCCGATTTCACGCTAGGTTGTTCGTTTATGTCATATTTCAAGACTTGGCGTTGATATGGAGGCGTGGGAACAAGTTTCGGGTCAAAAGGAGGAGGTTGGAGTAAAGGGGCGCTGGAAGAGGAAAATACCCGACCAGGAGTTAAAATACGCGGCCGGGTAAAATGCAAAGAGAGGCCGGGGAAAAGTGTTTTGGACTCTGAAATGGCAGAAGGGGTCCCGGCTGGTGAGCTAAAATACCCGATCATGTATTCTAGATCTCGATCGGGTATTAACCCCCTAGCTGCTGCTGTGCGTTTTGAAATCCCCGGCCGGGCACCTGAAATACCCGACTGGGTATTATGGCCTGGGGATCACGACCTGCTGCTTTTTAAGGGAAAGAAGACCAATTTTTGAAGGGTTCCGAGTTTTAGAGAAAGAAAGCTGACACCTAGAGAGAGAGCAACGAACCAGAATCTCCAAGCGCCCTAGATCGATCTTCATCACCATTGGAGCTCGGCTTAAGCTTGGAGAAGTGCCGATTGATTACCAAAAGCAGAATCTCATCCTTCACAACATGTTTTCCTCATCTGAGCTAGATTTCCCTTCTCTCTCAATGGAGTAAACTCTCTCACTCACCTGGGTATGAAGAACCCTAGATTTGTATGTTAGGTCTGATTGTATGAACCCAAGTATGAATCATTGATATTGATTATATTCAATTGAAGGTTTGATTTCTTGAATGACATGAATCCTGATCAAATTCCTGTTATTTCTGCTTTGACCTAGAAACAGAATATATGCCTAGGTTGATAGAGCACCCTTAATTGAAGGTAGTGAATTGACGACTTTAGCCGAGGAGTCAATTCACTATTTTGTACCGGATTTACTCCAGTAGAGGAGGTTTGGTTCGTTAGTGCCTCAATCGGTTTACTCTGGTGGAGGTTAGTCGCCCGCTGGGGACTCAGACTGAGAGGGTCTGGAGACCTTTAGTCAATACTGCAGACTGTTTAAGAACCTCCCACTGTATAACTATCATTGAACTTGAACTTGGTGAATTATAACCTGGCTTAACTGCAGTCTAGGGGGAACCATATCCGGGTGACCTCTCTCAACTTGAACACAACTTTCACTGCCTTTTCTTGCTAGTTTAGTTAGACCTTCACTACACTTGAACTGCTA